GGAGCGTCATGGAGACCTCGGTTTTCGGGTCGATCTCCCTGAGTTTTCTGGTACATTACAGGCCGAGGGATTCGTGGATTGGATTAATGAAGTGGAGCGTATTTTTGAATATAAGGAAGTCCCCGATCGTGTGAAAGTGAAACTGATCGCCATCAAACTCAAGGGCAGAGCATCTGCGTGGTGGGAACAGTTACGACGTTCACGAGAAAGACAGGGCAAAGCCAAGATCACTGATTGGGAGAAGATGAAAAAGAAGATGAAGGGCCACTTCCTTCCCTTCGGCTACACGCAAACCTTATTTCAGCGACTTCATGCGTTGAGGCAGGGCGCGCGATCAGTCGATGATTACACGGAGGAGTTTTACCAATTGGTCGCCCGGAACGATTTATCTGAGACGGAGGAGCAGATGGTGGCGCGATATTTGGGGGGTTTACGCCAGCCCTTGCAAGATGTCCTCAGCCTTCATTCATTGTGGAGTGTTTCGGAAGCATACCAGCGTGCACTTGCTGTTGAAAAACAGCAAAACAGGAGACCAGTGATCAGGAGCGATCACAACAGTCGACCAGTTCGCCCTCAAGAGTCCCGTCCTGCTCAGCAGCCACCGCAGGGTAATTCTAACCCTACTATTAGATGTTTTCGTTGTGGTGAACAAGGGCATAGGGCGACTGATTGCAGGAAGCCTGCTAGTCAAAAGGGCAAAAATTTGTTGATTGAGGAAAACGTGGAAGACGAGAATGAGGAGATTGGCGAACCCGTGTATGACGATGATGAGACTGATGATGTGCTATATGGAGATGGTCATGAGACTCTGGTCGTTCGCAAGAGTCTACTTACCCCAAGGGCGATTCAGGGGACGATTGGTTGAGAACCAATATTTTCCACACGACTTGCACAGTTGCAGATAAAGTCTGCAAAATGATCATTGACAGCGGCAGTTGTGAGAATGTAGTGTCCGAGGAGGTTGTCCAGAAATTGCAGTTGAAGACGGACCGTCATCCTAAGCCATACAAGTTGTCATGGCTAAATAAAGACAGTGAGGTAACAGTTGATAGGCGATGCCTGGTGTCTTTTTCAATTGGTAGAAAATATTTTGATAATGCCTGGTGTGATGTTGTGTCTATGGATGCGTGTCATATATTGTTGGGTCGACCTTGGCAGTATGATCGCAGTGTCATTCATGATGGACGGAAGAATACATATTCCCTTAGCATCAAGGGAAAAAAGATTGTGTTGGCACCCCGGCGGGAAGGACTTACTCCTACCCCAGTAACCCATAATACTAATCTGCTTTCTATGTCCAGGTTTTTAGATGAGATTGAGCATGGCGACGTGGTCTATGCCTTGCTACCTTGCGAGAACAATGCAGTAGACGTGGATACAGATTTACCAGTAGAGGTGCAGCGGTTGCTAGCAGAATTCTCTAACTTGATGCCAGAGGATCTTCCTCCTGGACTACCACCTATGAGGGATATTCAGCATCAAATTGACCTTGTTCCTGGGTCAAGTTTGCCAAATCGACCAGCATATCGCCTCAGTCCCAAGGAGGCCGAAGAGTTGCAGCGACAGGTGGAAGAGTTGTTGGAGAGGGGCTATATCCGAGAGAGTATGAGCCCATGTGCAGTCCCTGCTCTGTTAGTGCCAAAGAAAGATGGTTCTTGGCGTATGTGTGTTGACAGCCGAGCGATCAACAGAATTACAGTGAAGTACCGGTTCCAATTCCCCGTCTAGATGATATGTTGGATCAGCTATCTGGTTCTAAGATCTTCTCAAAAATTGACCTTAAGAGCGGCTACCACCAAATCAGAATAAGGCCTGGAGATGAGTGGAAGACGGCGTTTAAAACGCCACAAGGGTTGTATGAGTGGATGGTCATGCCTTTTGGGTTATCCAATGCGCCCAGTACATTCATGAGATTTATGCATCAGGTCTTGCGGCCTTTTATGGGGAAATTTGTTGTAGTTTACTTCGATGATATCCTCGTTTATAGTCCGACATGGACTTCACACTTCGATCACCTCCGTGCTGTTTTTGAGATGCTGAAAACGGAGTGCTTGTTTGTCAATCAAAAGAAGTGTCTTTCTTCACTACTTCTGTGACTTTTCTTGGTTTTGTTGTGTCTACTGATGGTGTTCATGCAGATCAGTCAAAAATAGATGCAGTCTTGGAGTGGCCCAGACCAAGAACATTACATGACATCCGAAGTTTCCATGGCTTGGCGTCTTTTTACCGTCGATTCATTAGAAATTTCAGTACTCTGATCACCCTATCACAGAGTGCCTCAAGGGGCGTGATTTCCAGTGGTCTGAGGAGGCAGAGGCCAGTTTTCAACTGGTCAAGCAGAAGATGACCGAGGCTCCAGTTTTGGCACTTCCAGATTTTGACAAAGTGTTCGAGGTAAATTGTGATGCATCTGGCGTTGGCATTGGTGGTGTTCTGAGTCAGGCAGGTCGTCCGGTTGCTTTTTTCAGTGAGAAGCTATCGGGATCAAAGAAAAATTATTCCACTTATGATCTGGAGTTCTATGCCATAGTTCAGTCCCTGAAGCATTGGCGTCACTACCTAGTACAGAAGGAGTTTATTCTGTTTACCGATCATGAGGCCTTGAAGTACATCAATGGCCAACACAAGCTGAGTAGACGTCATGCCAAGTGGGTAGCATACTTGCAAGAATTCACTTTTACGCTGAGGCACCAAGCAGGGAGTTTGAACCGCGTCGCAGATGCCCTGAGCCGTCGTACCTTACTTCTCACCACCATGAGTACTAAAGTTGCAGGATTTGAGACGTTCACAGATATGTATGCAGCTGATCCTTCCTTTGGAAGGATATTTCAGGAGGTAACTGAGGGTCACCGTCATGATTTTGTTTGCATAATGGGTATCTGTTTCGTGGATTACAATTGTGCATTCCAGATTGTTCATTGAGGCAGCAAATTATAAGTGAACTCCATAATGAGGGACACTTTGGCCGAGATAAGACATTGGCCCTTATCTCTTCTGAATTTTATTGGCCCAAGTTGACTAGTGATGTGGCCCATTATGTGGACCGTTGTTATGTGTGCCAGCGATCTAAGGGAGTTCTCACCAATGCGGGATTGTACACTCCCTTACCTGTTCCTGAAGCTCCTTGGTTCGATGTCAGCATGGATTTTGTACTAGGCTTACCCCGCACCCAAAGGGCCTCTGATTCTATCTTTGTTGTGGTTGACAGGTTTTCCAAGATGGCTCATTTTGTAGCTTGCAGAAAGACTATGGATGCTGACCGGATTGCCCATCTCTATTTCAAGGAGATTGTGCGTTTACATGGTGTTCCTCGATCCATCACTTCAGATCGTGATACTAAGTTCATCAGTCATTTCTGGAAGAGCCTGTGGGGGAAACTGGGAACGCAGTTGAATTTCAGTAGCGCCTACCACCCCAGACGGATGGCCAGACTGAGGTGGTGAACCGAAGTTTGGGAAACCTTTTAAGGTGTTTGGCAGGAACGAAGCCGAAGCAGTGGGATTTGGCATTGCCTCAGGCAGAATTTGCCTACAACAGATCAAAAAACAGAACCACAGGTTTAAGCCCATTTGAGATTGTCTATGGTCAGAACCCATCCGGGGTGTTGGACTTAGCCCCTATTCCACGTATAGGACGTTTCAGTCCTAAAGCAGATGAGATGGCAAAGTATCTTCGGGGTATCCATGAGCAGGTGAAACAGACCATTCATGAGAGCAATACCAAGTACAAGACTCGGGTCGACAATCATCGTCGTCAGGTACTTTTTGATGTTGGTGATTTTGTTTGGGCTGTATTAACTCGTGATCGTTTTCCTGTTGGTGAGTATAATAAGCTTAAGGATCGGAAGATTGGACCTTGTGAGGTCGTACAGAAGATCAATGATAATGCTTACAGGTTGCGACTTCCCAGTCACTTGAAGACTTCTGATGTCTTTAATGTGAAGCACCTGAGTCATTGTTTTGTGGATCCTGATGACACTACTCTGAACTCGAGGACGAGTTCTTTCCAACCCGGGGCGACTGATGCAGGGGGATCTGAGACAGATGATGCTGAGCTGTCAGATTGCACGTTGATGGCGCTGAGATACCATGAGTTGGCAGATCAGCGCAAAGGCGGGAATTGATTGTGACATGTTCCTTATTGGGGTCGTTTTGAGTATGTTTCAGTCTTTGGCCATAACTTTGGCTACAGGTGTCAGAATCGCGCATAAGACCCCAATCCGGAAAGCTCTTTTCGACGCGCACGCTCTCCACATTGAGCTACGCTCCATGTGGCCTTTTTTTCAACCTCAAATTCTGCCGTTTTCCCCTCCGAATCACTAGATTTAGTTATTTTTTACTATTTATGGTAATATTTCGATTGTTAATTAGGAAGTCAATTTAAATCCGATTTAGACCGGATTTTTGGGAGATTGCTTATTTTATTTCGAATTTCAATTTAGAGTGATTTTCGGGATTTTGCTATTTTTGGCAAAATTCGAATAAATACGATTTTTGCTATTTTTGGCAAAATTCGAATAAAGACGATTTTTTTAGCTATAACAGTCCGGCTTGTGGACTGCTTTTGACAGTTATTGATTTTATAATATTTTATTAAACCCTAGAGACTTTTTTTTTCTCTGGTTTTTGGGCGAATTTTCTCTTGTGAATCGTCTGTCGGAGCTAGCCTACAGGATAATCACTATTCTGTCTGGCGTCAAAAACGCATAGAAATATGACATTCATCCTATAATGGGTTTCTGTAGTACTCGATCCAGATTAATCAGTTTATGTACCGAAAACTGAATCTAAAAGAAATTTAGCATTCGTGATTGTTAATCCATGAATTTCATAAATGCAGCATTCATGATTGTATGTTTTTATATGTCTTATAGTTAAATTTAAGCTATTTTTGAAATCCAAATTTTAATATCCAAGTGAGGCTACCTTAGTTCATTTACAAAAGCTAAAAAAGAGTAGAGAAGAACATTGAGGCTGAGGAATTACCCAGATCAAGTGACAATGTGGAACAATGTGATGATGACAGTAGAGGAGAAAGAGATGATCACAACCAAATGGACAGGTTAAGTCTCACGAAACCCTAATTGTTGCCTTAATCAATAAGCAACGCAAATGGATAGATTTTAACATCAAATCACATTTAACATGCATTGAATCCTCAACAAGAAACACACGTACATGTGTTTATACTTTCACCTAAACATACTAAATTTTCCATGTCATAATAAAAAAAATAAAAAATTCAGGGAATGATTAAAACTGTTTTAATAAACAGGAGTAATTCACAAATTTAATGATTAAATTGAATAATTTAAATTAAAGTGATCAAAATAGAATAGAGAACATAGTTCGGTGATAAAACGATATACTTTACCCTCTTAATAACCGCAAAAAAAAGGGGAAGAAAAAATCAATCCACACGTACAACGGATAAGACATAAAAAGGAGGCAAGCTTTCCCACTCAGTCCAAACAAGAATCTCTCCGGTTTCCTTTCAACGGCAACGGCAACGGCAACGGCAACGGCAATGGCTGCAACTTGTTACTCTACTATTTCCACTTCACTCAATTCAATCAGACCCTTTCCTTTCCTCTCAAAAATTTGCAACCCGAACCCGTTCCCTTCCTCCTTTCGGAGCTCCAAATCCGAGCTTCAAACTCGGCCTCTGTGCAAGAAGATCATTACATGAGCATCGATAATCTCCGACGGTTTTTCCATCTTACTTCGGGAAAATGGACCGGTTCCTTCCACGTAATTATTATTTCTTACCCACTTCTAGTTTTCATCGTTTCATTAATAGTTTTTCTTTTAAATGTTTTTTTTATTTTGTAGCAATTTGATGGAAATGGGAATTTGTTGCAAAAAATAAATACGAGGCTTTCGGCAAGTTCATATGGAGAAGATGAGCTTATCAGTCTCATTCAAACGTAAACTTTTCAATTTCTATTATCATTAGTATTTTATTTTTCCAAAGTTTATATTTGGGTGTATTATAGATTCTTTTATCTTTTTGAAGTATATATGACGTAGTCCTTGGAGTATTTTTATTTTTATTCTTATTTATGAGAGGTTATAATCAAGAAAAATCGTATATTTAAGTGAGTTTGTTATTATAGCTAGTAGATTCCTATGGTTTCTATATTTCTCCTATGGAAGTTTGTTGATAAAGATGTTGTTTTTAGGTTGTACATTGAGCAGCCTCAATCAAGCATTTCAATTTCTGGACTTAAGGAAGAAGTTGAATGGGCAGAATACAAAATAAAAGAAACAAATATGTTCACTGTGGACAAATATCAGGAGGTAGAGTTTTTCCCAATTAGGATGTTAAATTGTTTGATTTTCAATGTACATTCTTTTCATTGTATCTTAGCTTTTAAAGTTAGTTATTTTCTCTTACAATCATCGATTATGTTTAGTCTGCAGATCGGATTTTTCCCCAAAGAGAGGGCTTTTTCATTAAGGTACCGGACTGCTGGCATGTTAGAGACTGTATTAAGGCAAGGGGTACTGGGAGAAGATGACACTGGGGAGGAATCACCTAAGTAAGCTCTTTTACTCGTAGAAGGCATTCAGATGAATTGAATAATATATTCTAGGAAAGGAGTTGGAATAGCATTGATATTAGCCTAGTTGTATACAAATTCAAACCCAATTGTGGTTTTCTGCTCCTTTTTTCTTTTGTTGTTATGATGTATGAATCTTTAATATATAATGCATGATGTATGGTATGAATAGCCCCCTATTTTGAAGAAGTTTTCTTGTAACCATTTGAGAAGGCATCTAAAAAACTTGTCACGTTATCAAAAGTTAATTTTGATATTTTTGATGGGTTAGATAATTGGGTAGTCTACCTGCCATATTTCCTTAATGTCTCCCTACAACCATATCGACAGGTGGGGTGGCAAATTCTGTTTGGTTGTTTAGAAGAATATTTAAAACTGGTCCTCTTTGAGTATTGAAATTGTATGGATAAGTGGATCACTGGACAGTGCCGATTATCTGATTCAATCAATGATTTATGTCACAATGACCCAGTTTCCAAAATGATGAGTATGCTTTCCAGAGAAAAAAATATCAATATGTATGTATGTGTATATATATATATATATATACTTTTTAACAGCTTTTTCCTCTATTGTCTGACCTGCACATACAGAGGCGGATGCATTCAATTAAAAGAGCTAACTAATTGTTCTATTTTACAGAAATATTAAGCTTCCTTCTCGCCGGCCTTCCCTTGTTTGTGAAAATTGCCTATATTCTCAAGAGAAGGATAGACGAGCAAGAGCATTTCATATCATGGACCCTAGAGGCTTCGTGGATATGCTTATCATCTTCTTTGAGGATAGAGGTGATGGGCCACTTATTCACCCATCACTTGTCGATATGGTGATAATTGATCTTAAACCATTTTGTTTAAACTGACAATTCTAACTTCCTTTTATAAGATTTATGCATATAAAATATTGTTTTACGAATTGTAGGATGGACAGGACCGGATTTTACCATTTTTGGGCAAGTGGGAAGGTCATTCTGTAACAAAGCGTAGTGGTGTTTATGGATCGACGATGGCAGAAGCTGATACAGTTTCTTTACTTGAAATGGATGACAAGAATAAGCTCATCCAGGTATGTTTGTCTCTCTCAATGTTTCCAAGAACGAATATTCTTTCGCTTAAAAAGGTAAGAGCCCTGTAATCTTGGAGTGGAGTTGATTTATATTTCTTTTAGACTACATTTATGATGACACAAGGAATTAGTTCCATTAAGTTAGTGATAAGATATTGTTCATTTTGTCTATGTTGTTGTGACACTTTATTTTTTTCTAAAATACCTGTGTCCATGGTCCACCACTCATATTTAATACATATTCGGACATGTTTATGGGGGTATGATTCTATAGTTATCTGTAAAAATTTTGAAATACACCTTCAACACAGACCAGTATCTGACTCTAATTCCCGAGTCTGAAAATCATAGCATTTTGGTTCTGCTAATGTCTTTTATGAATTCGAAAATTCTGTCTTCAAGTTTTCTTATTTCTGTCTTGCTATTCTAAATGCCACTTCAAGATTAAATTATGCAGGTGATAGTTAATTAACGTATAATTTACTGGTTGTCTGTGGAGAACACTCATTATTGTCAGTTTTCATGTTTTTCTCCCTGTGTTTCGATATACACAATCAGGATGTTACTTCCAAGGGTGGTGGACGTGATGTAAGAACTAACGTGCATTGGACGGGTATGATCACAAGTAACTCGGTTGAATTTGAAGGGGCATACCAGCTAACATTATTACCTGGGGGAATGTATATGGGATACCCTTCTGATATTGCAAAGAGTGTAGCTGAATCCAAGTCATTCCATTTGGAGTTCTGTTGGTTAGAGGCACCCGGGAAGAGACAGAGACTGCTTCGAACTTATGATGCTGAGGGGTTGGCTGTCTCATCGACCTATTTTTCTGAGGTTAGAGTATGAGCTCCTTGTACATCACTGACGAGGTATGTTATTCCCTAACTTGTAGAAAAAGTTAGGGTTTTGATTTTATATAAAGGAAAGTAAGCAAAAGAGAGCACATTGCTGTAACTAATTTTGAAAACGTGGACTGATGGTCGATCAGTTGAACTTTGCTTTTCGGTTAAACTAGTCAGTCAGATCCGGTTTTTTGTTTCATGGTTGTTAATGGGTAAGATAGGTGAGGCTTTACGAGTTAGTTGCACCATTTTAAAATTTCAACTAAATTTAAGTGCCTTCTAAGGATCATATTCTCGTGCCTACAAAAACTGGTTATCATCTGAAAATAAAGACAATTTATCTGAACGATATAGTAGAATCGTGGGTTCCACTTTGAAGCTTAATCAGAGAGTAGTAAGCTCCTGTTGGCCTCTTAGCTAACAAAGATGAATGATTTCCTTTCTCAGCCAACTTCCCTTTGTCTAACACGACAATAACATCACAGTTCTGAATGGTACTTAGCCTATGTGCTACAATCACGCTGGTACTCCGCACCATCACTTGTTCCAATGCTTCTTGCACCACTTCCTCAGATTTATTGTCAAGTGCACTGGTTGCTTCATCTAGTTATAACATCATCGGATTCTTCAATATAGCTCGGGCTATGGTGATCCGTTGTTTCTGATCCCCAGATAGTTGCACACCTCCACACCAGTTATCATAACCATCTGCCAGGCCTGCAATGAAGTCATGTGCATTTGCTGCTTTGGCTGCTTCAATGACTTCGGATTCATTGATTTTATCCAATGCTCCATATAGAATGTTTTCCCCTATTGTGCTGGAAAATAGTGTTGGTTCTTGGCTAACAAGTGCTGTGTGTTTCCTCAATGACCTTAGGGTGTACGACCTTATATCTCGACCATCTTTCTTCACTACTTTGCAAGGATCATAGAATCCCTCAATTAAATTAATGATTGTTGATTTACCAGATCCGCTTTGTCCCACTAATGCAGTCAATTTTCCGGCTTCCATGGTTATTGAGAAGTCTTCAAAGAAAATCACATTAGGCCTGGCTGGATATGCAAAATCGATGTCACAAATTTCTACATGTCCTGTAATTTCTTCAACCAAGTAACCACTAGAGTCATCAGGTTCAATTTGTGTGCAGCAATCGATTATATCAAACAAAGCTCTGACAACCTCGGTGTTCTTGGCCAAGTCTGGGGTCAAGCTTGCAGCTTCAGCAATGAGAAGGCTGGTGCGAACCATGACAAGGAATGTTTGAGTAAAGGCTTTTGCAGTGATGTATCCTTGTGATACGAGTTTCCCACCATACTAAAAGCCGAATGCCTTAATGCATGCACTGAGCAGTAAAGCTGATCCGAGTCCAATACCTGCAAACCAAGCTTGTCTAACATTCTCTCTTCTCGGACCTTCATCGAACTTTCGCAACATTTTCAGGATTCGTTCCTGAGAACAGAAGGAAGTAATCGTACAGTGGTTGGAAACCGCCTCGGCAGCAACCTTGATCCTCTCTTGTTGTGCCTCGATGGCTTCCTTGTACATGCTTTTAAGCAAGACCTTTCCAGTGTACATGTTGACAACGATGAGGGGTTGGACTATCATGATGATGGCAAGTCTCCATGCAATGAATAAGCCCATCGCACAAGCCAGAGTTATAACGGATATGGTTCTCAGAATAAGAGACATTCCGTCATTGACCAAAGATCTCACCTGAAAACATTCAAGGTTCATGCATATCTATAGGAACATCCTAGCACAACATGATCAACTTAAAAAAGAACATACCACACTAGCATCCTTGTCTAGTCTAGCACAAATGGTGCCACTGGAGTTCTCATCAAACCACCCAACTTCGAACGTCAGTAACTTCGAAAGCACTCTCTCTTTTATCCTCATTGTCAAGTGCTCCCCGATGTAAGCAAAACTATAATGCTGAATGATATTAATTATCGATGTAAACAAAAATAACCCAAGGAAACATAAAGCATAAACCTTTGTCTTCTCTTTAATTTCATCATGATCCGTGAGAGAGAAAAAATATTGGAATCAGTGATCCTATTGTATCAGATGAGACCGGTTGCAGCGCACCAACTAAAACTGCAGTAATGGATGCCACAGTAGCATGTTTCCACTCTGGTAAATTCAAGTCCCACAGTCTTCTAAAAGATGGTGTAGACACCTTTTGATCCTCACCCTTGATTTCTCCGGCTGGTGAAGCACGATTCAGTGTGGTGGAATTGGCTGAATTTGTCCGGTTTGCTACAGAAGGTCTATGATTATTGGCTGAATTTTTATTCCCTTCTTCCTGGACTTGTTCTCTTTGTTGAAGTTGCACTAGCACGGGATAAAAACCTTTCTCATTCACCATTAACTCATCATGTGATCCAGTTTCCATGACCTGACCATCTCGGGCAACGAAAATCAAATCTGCATGTCTAATGGTAGAAAGACGATGGGAAATGATGATAGTTGTACGTCCGACAGATGCCTTTCCGAGAACCTCTCGCACAATGGGTTCGGATCCAGAGTCTAATGCATTTGTTGGCTTATCGAGGAGGATGATTTTGGGTGCCTTTATCAAGGCTCTTGCTATTGCAATCCTCTGTTTTTGTCCAGCAGACATTTGAATCCCTCGTTCACTAACCTATTTACCATGTAAAACTCGGTTTCTAGAACCTATATAATCTAATAAACACAAAACATGTGTAAGTTGGGGTGTCTTCGAAATTTGAGAATCCCCTCCTAAACAATCACAAGTACCCTGTTTTCTGCTGGAAGTTTCATCCCTGCACCAATGGCTATGAATCGATCAATAATCGGAGAACATGCTGAATTACAGAAGGTATTACAAACAGGGCGACGAAATGAAATTGAGAAGCAACATATTGTGTGTATACATACATCCATATTTTATATATACTCGCAACTTCATCCAGTGCAATAGATTTCATGTCTGTACTTGTGCACCAAAAATAGGAAGCATGAATAAGAAAGAGATTCTAAGTGGTGTGCAGCTTAGATGATCATCCATTTTGTCAAAAATTATTAGCTGTGCTTTTTACATCAGATTTTGGTTTCATAGAAGCAGCTTTATACTTTCAATTATGAGCTGCGGTTTGTTTCTTTATAAAATATAATCTTATTGGATCGAATTAGATCAAAATTAATCAAAATCTCGTATCTGTCTCTACTTTCATTTTCATAACCTGTGTTGTCAAAGAACACAGAGAGACGAACATACTAAAAGATAATTCAATATACTATAAAATTATAAAATAATGATATTAATATTAATATTGTCCCGAATAAAGGAAATCATCAATTTATTTTTATATAAATACATAATAATATTTTAAACACGATTATAATACATGAAAGATTGATAAACCAACACTCACCCAAAACCATAAGCATATATTTTTCTCCGTATAACTTTTTCCTGGAACTACATTTCTTTATAGACTGGTAATGGAAACACTGTATCAATTTATTCGAATCAGTCCAACCTTCTCAACAAGTATTCAACTTGGACTTCTTTTGTCAATGGCATGATCCAGTCACCGTATAAGTCTGCAACCAAGCTCGAGTTTATTTTGTAAACCGGATCGACGCCATCTTCGTTTATATTACCCGACAATACTTCCCCATACGTTCTGGCTTTCGTTTCTACTCTTTTCTTGATCGACTCTTCGACCGAAGGATATGTCAGCAACTCCATCAACCATTTCCGGTCCTGCAAAATCCGAGACCGAATAATGAAACGACGGATGCTTCAACAAAATGCACTCAGAATGGAACCAATAAAATGATATACCTGTTTTTGGATGGCAACTGTATAGGCATCTGGTGATGCCCGAAATTTACACTCTGCCACAAATTTCCCATAATGAATTCTCTTTGAAAGTGCCTGCAGTAACACATATGTTTAAGAATCCGAGAGTTCCCGAAACGAACAACAGATGTTTTGCAAATTTGCAATGAAAACCTTGTACAACCAACGCTCACTCTTTCGAGATTTTGAGTGAGATCAACAAAGGTCACCAAATAGTAACATACATGGTTCACATTGCATATGTTAGAATACAAAGTATGGACATACATTAGAAAAACAATGCAGATACTTGTTGCAAAATCCAGTTCTATACGTGGATCAAATGAAACGAACCATCAATGAGTTATCATTGATTTCCCGAAATTTGGTACACACTTTAGAAAATACAAATGGTGGAACTTCCTACAGTAAGGGACATAATCTTACTAAAAGATTATGTTACCATCCAACTCCCATGAATCAGTGCCTTATATAGCCTGTAATGGACCAATAAGACTGTTTCAGCAAGTGAATCGACATACTGACTACTGAGTAACTGTCAAATTCAAGCAAACCGATTCCGAAGAAGGAAAGAAACAACATTACCAAGTACCTGGTAACCACAATTTAACAGCATTTAGAACGGCTCAACCCCATTCGAATACCAAAAAATGAACTACCTCTTTCAAAATTTACTCAAGTTCTGATTTAGATTTTGCTAGCTAAAGTTTGGAAAACAACATCAATAAACATCTTGTAGTACTAAATCTAAACTAAAAGTACTTAAAAAGGGATAGAGGAAATAAGAATTCACGACGTTTACTACTACCGATAAATCACCATTTTAGTTGAAGGTATATAACTAAATTGGAAATGCACGGGACCTCTTCAATGGGAAAAAAAACATATTAAATATGCTTTGACTAGTTTCTAACCTACAGACTAGTAAAAATATTTACCTGCAAACACATGGTGTCACAAACGGCAGTAGATCCACAGTTGCCATCATCTCCTTTATTCACTAGTCTCGGAATAAGATTTCTGAAGTACATTTCCCACACTTGGTTATTTATGTTTATTGAATCAGCAATGGGATGTAGTACCTGTTTGATTGACAGAAAACGGCTCCAATGTGAAGTTAAAACTTAATCCCCACAGTAAGAAAAAAATCCGAATGTCCACAAATTTACAAATATTATGAAGAGTGACAGATAAAGATCATGTGCAGAGGATTAAATTCTTGGAAAAGACTGCCACACAGGATAATAAATCATCAAAAAAGCAATCCTCTCCATGACAATTCAAGTGTTATATTCTCGTGATGATAAGAAAACAGAATCAAACTGAATCATCACTCACAGATGAGTTATGTTTATATGTTGCATTGACATGAAGAGCATCACTTGCACCAGAAAATAGTATGGAAGTGCACAGAAAAGTACTCTTCAAATCTTTCAAGAGACTATAAAATAGTGATTTACTAGCAGAGGTCTATGTTTCCCCAGACGATAGTTTTACCCATCAAATTTGAAGGCCTACCTCAATCAACCCTATCTCTTTACTACTAGAGAAATGGAAGTGACAAATGCTTAAATTCCGGTAAAACAAGTAATTGATAAAATGCTTCATATTGGCAAAGAATCATATCCAAGGCCACTGCACGAAATCAACAACTGTGATTTCTCTTACATCCTACTACTTTACCTTTGGATATTGCAAAGGTGGCAACAGGGGATCTGGCAATTCATATGGGAAGAAAGGATGCTCATCTGGGCTCTTGTATCTGCCAACCTATATGCAATTAAAAACTGATGAGAAAACCAGCACCAAGTTTACCATACCACCTTCCTTTTTCTCTCTGCTTCAGTGATCACTTTCCAAACGAAACCATCAAGTAAAACATACCTGGGCATGAAGCTTTTCAGTTTCTTTGAGCATATACTCCACCAAGGAGCCATGGAACCCATCCATTGAAAAGACATCGGGATCATACGTATCCGCATTATAACAATATTGAGCTCTCTCCAGAAGACTAAATATTATACTGTCCTCTTGTCGGATTAATGAACGCCTCACGGCCTCCAGGGTCAAATTCTCGCTCTCATCCACCCTTTGCTTTACCCCCTCTAATCTATCGAGATGAACCCAAATTTAAATAATTAGAAGCCTTCATCAATGTTGAAAAGATATCAGCTACAACACCACAGAAATACAAAATAAAAATAAAATCGGCAAGTGTTTATGACAAGGGTTAGTAAAAAAGTTCAATGTAGTCGTCCTAACTTCCTGTATGAGCATAGTTTATGAGCCATTGCACTTCATTATGGTACCATATTGACAGCCAAAGTCTCTTGCTGCTTATGCATGGAAGCAAATATATATATATATATTATTCCTTCATTTATAAGTTTTTCAAATGTGTTCAATGAATTCAAGTTGCTAGAAAAAAACATAATAACGAAAAATGCATGCTGAAGAGAATGCTGCTTCCCATGCAATCAAATTGGTGTTATCCCGGAGGGGAAAATGGGCATTTAATGCTACTACCACTAGAATTCTGCAGTGAATATCAAGGGGGAAATCATTAAAAATCTAAAATTAAACAAAAGGATATCTAGAAATGATATTAGTCTTTCTGCATTAGAAATAGAAAGGTTCTCGTGCAATTTTTCAACAAACAGGAAAACTCAGACAAGAGCCAGAAAGGGCTAGATTCCAAGCAATCTGGCAATGGAATTTAAGTAACTGTTGTATAGAAGAAACCCAATTTCATAATATGCAGGAAGATCTAAATAAGCCAGATTCAACGAAAAAAAAATGCACCAAATTCAACTAAAACCAAAGCTTTGGTTTTTATTAAAAAAACAATGAAATAACCCTTTTTTCTATCAACAATAAAAAAATGAATTGAAGTAAACAACAAAGAACAGGCAAAAGGGTTGATTGTTTTATACCCAAAGGAGTAGGTGGAAGCAGGAACAGATTGAATGGATTTCTTTGACAACTTTGCAGAGCAATCAAACTTAAAGCTGGGGAATTCCCTGGTTTGCAGAGGCAAAACGTTACTGGGTCTTGAAATTTTGGCAGTGCCATTAACAGAAGGTAAAAGCGGAGAAGAAGACCTTAACAGCCTAGCCTCCATTGATCACAAAGAGAGGAGAAAACTTGAGAAAAAAATCCAAAGGAAGCTGAAGCTTGGACTTTGGAAGCTTTTGAAACGCGCAATGAGTCAAATGTGTAGGGAGAAAGAGAGATTATAGTAACAATAATATTTGGTCGCGGATTCTTGTGGTGGGTGAATTGGGGGTTGGCAAAGGGGATTGGTGGAGTTGGTGTTGTATTCCCACTTAATCGGGTGCCTATTCAGTTTAAAACTTAATTTAATTGGTTGATTTGTCATCGTCAATTGTGATCAAGGTATAGGGGAACACGTTATTCTTTGTCACTTGCATCACTTTTTAGGTTAGTGTCTCTATTTTTTTTAATACATTTTTTATTTTAAACATAATTTTACGGTTGGTTGTATCATACAATTTGACGTGATTCAAATTTTTTAAAATATATAAGGATATTTTGATATTTACTCTTTTTTATTATAAGTATGAGCGATGAAAACAAGCAAGAAGAAACTCTAGGCGCTGAACAAGGACCGAAACTATAAGGGGTTATTTGGTTCAAGGTATATTTTATTACGGGAAATAAAATCTTTATTCTCCCGTTTAGTTGGTCAACATTCTTAGTTTCAGTAATTTTTTATTACCAATCGTAGATTTTTTGGGGTTTTAAACTAAAATACCCTTAATTTTTTTTTAAAAAAAATCATTCTTAGTTGAATAATAAAAATTCTACGAAAGTTAAATTACAAATTTATCCTTAAACTATTTTAGATTTACAAAAAAAAATCTATAATTAAAATTTTATATGAAGTTCAGGGGTTAAAATAAAATTTTACCATTTCATTAAATCTATTTATCTTTTAAATTTTGTAAAAAAAAATTATATAAATTTTATGAATTTAAATTTTTTAAAGAAAATATATAAATTAATTATAGTAGAATTTAACTTATTAAAAAAATAAATATATAATAAGGACAATTTGGTAAAATATACATTCTAATAATATTTTATTCTTTTAACCAATCACAGTAATCTTACATTCATGCTAAATCAACCAAACACAAAATACAATATTCTCAGTAATCCTATTATCTGGTAATCTTTTATTCTCACTGATAATCTTATATTTCGTGAACCAAACGCACTATAAGAAAATATCAGAGGATGAAGAGAGAGAGAGAGAGAGATGAGCGGTGGCAACAAGAGAACAATAATAATTTTTTTCTCGGTTTTAGATTTCTAATGTTTAGAAAGAGAAGAAAAAACAATCCTAAAAGGTTTAAAAATAAAAAAAAATATTATTATATTAAAAACAAAAATAACAAATAGCTTATCAATGGGATCAACCTTCAAGTGATAAATGAAAAATTAATACTTATAATAATTAAATAAAAAATAAAAAATTGATACTTGAAGTAAACTATATGCAGATGTTATTAAGGAACATGTGGTGTCTTAAAACACGTTCTTCCCACATAATAAGAATATGAATCTAGAAAGTGTTTATAAGATAGAACCAATATGTTAATTAACGAATGTATTAGTCATAAGGTTTTTTGTGCACAACTGATACGTGCAAAGGTACAAATCAATTTCATATAAGATTAGGATGCACTCACTCACATGTCACAAACCATACAAAAATTTTGATTGGTTGGGCTTAAAGCTTCACTCAACAAAAATTTAAGCCCATTATATATATATATATATATATAAAACTATTTGGTCACTTTATTACTTAATTTATATTTTAGTCGATCAATTTCTTTTTCCAAAATCATATATACTATTACGTTTTGATTTTATTTTGGTCGTTCGTCGTTAAAAATTTTAAGGTGACGTTAATACATCACCATAAAATAATGTCACTTCAATATTGATAAATAATAAGAAAAACGACATGTAATTATCACCATTGATTTTTTTAATGACTGACGACCGAAACAGAACTAAAATATAACGTTAGTTATAATTTTTGAAAAATAATAATTCCCTGACCAAAATAAAAATTAAGTAATAGATCAGTGACCAAAAATAAAATTTACCCAAGAAAATATCATTGTCAGATCACATTTAAAATTCGTTGCGCCCTATAGTTGAGTTCAAAGCAAAAGGTCCCGACTCGACCGTAAATTTTTGTAGTTTTGGAGCTTCTTTAAGCAACAATTTGGAGTTTATTTTTAATTAAACTCATTTTTGAACTGATTTTTAATCAAATTAAAAGGGGGGAAAAGGGAGGGAAATTGTACTTCATGTTGTCTGAGAGTGTTGTTGAAAGTGCTCGTGGGGGGGGGGGGGGTAATTTGCCTATTTCAGAGAACGGAGATTTTATGAAGAAAGGTCAAATTTGGATTTTGCCACACTATTATGCTAGAATGTAATATTTAGTCCCTATACTTTAGATATTGTTTGATCCTATACTTTTGACGCTGTAATTAGTTTGTACTTTGTAAAAATAGTTATTCTATAAAAAAATAGTCCGAACAGTTAATATATTTTCAATTATTCCATTTAAAACACTAATTTGAATTTTCCTTTTAAACAAATTTCTAACATAAAAAATCTATGTCAACATGGTGAGTTAAACTGATATTTATTTTAGGAACAAACGCCATAAATTTAATTAAAATAGCTAAACTATGTAACTATTTGGATTAACTAATGATATTGTAGAAGTAATTAAATCAAATTATAACAAATTAAAGTTTAGAAACCAAAACTTACATTGAAATATAATAGAGGGGCTAAAATCGAAATTGACCAAAGTGTAAGAGGAAAGAGAAGAAATGGTGGGATCAGCTTAAGCCTATATTTGGAAACTGTTGGGGAGTTTGTTGCTTCAGCAAATCCAGGTGTCTGAACTATATAAAATACTGTGTACCCAAAAAGCATGGAATCTGGCAGACAATTTCACAAAAACAGAATATATATACCAGAAAAGAATATAAATGAAGGAGAAAAGCCTTTATATTATTTGTTATTTGGAGAAAATTTCTTATCTGAAAATTTCTGTTCTTTTCTTTTTTGATGTTGTTCTAGAGTGAACATGATCTGAGATTTTTCTCTCCTTTTTTGTTTGAAATTTTGGTTCATTTAGATCATGAGTTTTTCTTCTTTTTTTTTGGTATACTTGTTTTCCTGTCTTACTACATTGAATTGTCTGGAAAAATGTTGGATTCATGGTGTTCGTCATTTTCTGGATAATTTGGAGGGTTTTTCTTAGAGCAGCTTCTCATAAGAGACATATAATATAATTATGAGGTAATTTTCTTTCCTTTTTCTATTCATAAATTCTCATGATGGATGATTAATCCTGTTTATTCAGTATATCTGGCTTTGTTGATAGCCTAACTAGTTGATAGCCTAACTAGTGTAAAGCTGCATTTCTCATTCTTGATTCGAGAATTTAAATATTCTGAGGGAAAAAATCTAATTTAATTCTCCCCCTCCCCCGGATTTTGTAGAGAAATGTTTGAATTTTGTTACCTAGTGCTTGTTTTTGTCTGAGGAATTTTAGATCTGTAGAGTTTTTACTTCAGAATCTGCATCTATGTTAACCGGATTTAGAATGACTGTCGAATACAATATGAATTTGCTCAAGTTTTTCCTATTTTTTCCCGTTATATTTAGAAACAAAGAATTTGAATAACATAGATCTGCAGAAATTGTTTTTGTGTGTTTTATTGTAAGAGTGAGTGTAAGATACTCGAATGCATATGACGAGTAAACTCAATTTTTTGAAAATTTTCCTTGTATTTCAAGGATCATACCGCATATCTCTTTCCGAGTAAGCGTCTGATGCGGATACTTTTAGGGAAAACGATGATTCTGGTACCTGAGATCTGGAATTGTGAAGTTGGATGATGACTGTATATGCTGGTTGGATGGTTCTAAATTATGTTATTACCAACAAATTGTTTGCAATCTGAATCACTCTATTTTTTAGGCCTAATGCAAATTTGTTTTGGTTGTTTCGATCACGATCAACATAGATTACACCAGTGAATCAGCTGGAAATGCTCGTTTAATATACAAAGAATATCTTTTAGATTGCATCCTTTCTGCCTTGTAATCCAATGCCTCCGGTGTTACTTGCAGGCATGGGAACTGAAGTACATGTGAACATGCTTCTTCCAGGATATTATTCATTGACGAATCCAAAAGGCAATTCTGGCGATGTTGGCTGGTCTTTACCTTGCGAAAACAGAAACTCAGGGCCATATAGTGATTTCTTCCTGAGGCTGGCAATGGGATATGACAAGGAACAAATGAGGCAAACTATCCTGGAACATGATTCGATATTCAGGCATCAGGTATGGCCTCGATTAACAATGTTGGACAATGATTTTTTTTTTTTCTGTGGGAAGCCTTGGAACTTGTTTTGGAATGCAGTTTTCATGCTTGAAATTGTTTATCCAGCTTCATGAACTCCATCGCCTTTACGGAATACAACGGGATTTGATGAATGAAATCAAGAGAAAATACAAAAAAAAACATTTGATCCCTCGGGCTACATCACACTCGAATCCGTTTTCATGTGGCTTTAAGATGAACGAAAGATTTGGCAAACTTCAGAGTCACATATTTCAGACTTGAATTGTTTTAGGCTATTTACATCCGGTGCAAATGGAATCCACTCTCAGTTTAGTCCCTTGAAAGGAAATGCACCAAAATCCAGTTGCTGTTTGACTCAAAAGGGCTTAAAGTCAAAAAACCGTGAAAGTTTGGAATCCCAGCCGAACAAGGTTCGGACTAGATTATTTGACCTTGAATGTCCAGCCGGGGAATATATTAACAATGAAGATGGAGCTCTAGGAGTGTCTGCAAAAAAGAGTTACGAGGTTTCTAGTGAGAGGAATGGAAACTTATCAATGCACTATGATAGCAATTGTAGTTCTAATGGTGAAGCTACTAGGTGATTTGAATGAACCTATTCCGGTTGAGGAACCATCTAGTTCAGCTTGTGTTGGTATTCTGACTAACATTAGTAGCACAAAAAGGAGGTCCAAAGGAAGGATCTATCGTCTATGTCACAGCTGCTTCTAGGCTTCAACCAAAGGGGTGTAGAAGTTCTCCAAGATTTGGAGGTTGAAAGCAGGCAAAATGGAGGAGGGTTCTCTAATAAATTTGAAAATGGTAATGTAGCTATGTTTTGATGACTCTTTTGCTGTTCAATTTTTATCTATTAAAAGTATTTACATCCTTTAATATGCCACTCGCTTTCAGGACAACCTAGAAGCAATGTAAGTTTTTATCCTGAAGATTTGCATGTCTCACAGAAATCGGTACAAGCTGAAACTAATGAGGCCCGACCTGCAGTGTTTCTTTCATTTAATCAGAATAAGAGAGGAATGTTTGGAAAACGGGAAAATTTTGGCATAGAAATACCTGAAAACAGTATCGGTATGTCTACTGTTACATCACACGGACTTGATCCGATGTCTGTTCATTCTTGGTCAGATGCAGCTCATTCTGAGATACTCTCTGTCTCAAGTCGGGCTATATTTAATGGTAACTCGAGCCGAAATGGCTCTTGGACCTATGGCCAGCTGAATACTAGTTCAACAGCCTTGCTGCAGGACCATTACATTACCAGGGGCAAATTGCTTGTTGATAGCAATTCAAGATCTCTTCCAAGTTCTCTTGCTGAGGGATTGGCACAAAATGACTTTCTCGGTGCATTTGATTGCAAGAAACCGCGAGCTTGCAGTCCATTGGTTGGCTTCTGCAACCAAAATGACATCGACAGTAAATCTGATTCTGAAGAATTCGCACACCATGGTACTAAAATTAGCTTCAAGTCTCTACCTTGGATGATGGAGGCAAAGTCCGCAATCGATCTAAATGCAGGCACAATGGCTGCAGACGGTTATGAGATTGAAGAAATTTCTGGATCAGACTTTGCTTCTGTTAATGGATCCATAAAACAGAACTCAAATGGAGGATTGTCTTGGTTAAGGGCTCCAAGACCCAGTTATGTGAAACCTAACAAAGATGTCGAAGGTTCTCATCAAATGAATTTTAATTCATTGCAAAACTCCTCTCAGCAGTTTATTGGCAGAACTGAAATGAGAATCCGAGATTCCTTGCCAACAGCTAGTGTTGATGATCCGAAGCACAGGAAAAACGATACTAGTTATTCTTCGAGCAGTACAAAGCTTCTTGGTTTCTCTGTTACTGAAAATATATGCCAAGATCTGCCTTCGCCTAACATGCCATTAAAGCCGAGTTCTCATGCTTCTGCAATTGATGGTGTTAACTCTGACATGACTCGAAGGCCTTTGTTGGTTGCTGATACGAGTTCAGATAATCCAAATGCTAATGCTGGACGCATTGATTTGAATTTGCGTGTTACCGGAAAAGGGATAGAAGATATTCAATCAACATCCTTTTCCGTAAGGACCAATGTGAGGATTGCTGAGATAGACTTGGAGATGCCAGTGAAAACCAAAATGGGAACTAGGGATACCTTGGATTACAAGTCTCTCGAAAACAGCCTTACGAGGCCTTCCAACTTGTTACATGTCGAAGCGGACCAGTCTCCAGGACTCACTAGTGTTTCCGTGGCAGGCAGCTGAGGCTCTGATTGCCATATCATCGTCCCGTGTGATTGATCTTCATCAGAATGCCGGCTCAGACAAATCGGAAGTATCCGCAAGCGATTCACTTCTTGGTTTGCAGAGATCGTTACTTCCTGCAAGAGTGACACCGAGAATGATGTCGGATCATCCGGATCCCGAGATGCTTGATTAGCTGCTGCCCTCCTCTCCTCTAGCTATAAAACAACTTTCAGAGAGAACCGCAAATTTTTCTCATGGCTCTGCGATTCGGAATTTTCAAGCCCTGGAGATCCACACTGTACATGTTCCCTTTTGATTGTAATTGATTTTCTCTACTAGTTCAAGGTGTCCTGAATCCCGAGTGAGTGTCTCTGTGTAATTCTTCGTAATAAGTTGCATGGCGTCGACCCTCATGCAACGAGAAAACAAAAACAAGGTAATTTCGAACTGCTCCATACAAACTTATCGAGTAATTTCGCTGATAAAAAAAGTTAGTCTTTAAAAAATTTCAATTAAATAATTATGTCAGTAAAACATACACATAATCGATAAATTTAAAAAATTAAATAAATATTATGTCAGTAATAACTTCATATATAAAATATCAAATTTGTACCCTATCGTGTTTTTTTCTTTCTTTTTTTCATTTTTTCGTTAAAACAAATTGATTGAAAAAAAGAAAAAAAAAAGGGGAGAATAGATAGGGATAAGGTTGGATAAAGAAGTAGTTGCTAAACATTTGATGGAACATTGAATTGAGAAATGGTGACATGTAGTGCAGGTGCAAGGTATTTCTATTCATGATTCGGCGTTATAATAATATTATAAAGTTTAGGATGAGATGGTGAGGCCATCTTTTCAGAACCGACTCACACTCCAACCCATACTAATTGCTTGCTTCAAGATAGTATATACCATCTGATTCAAATAGAGTTTAAGATGGTTAAGTTCGATTAAAAATTTACGAGTTAAAAATTATTAATTTTAACTTGAATTTGAAATTGAAAAATAAAGTTGGTCTGAGCTCAAAACATTCTAAAATTTAATTAGATTAATATTCAAATTTGAACCTAAATTTTAAGTACGTAAAAATAATAAATAATAAATATTAATATTATTAATAATTTAATCTAAAAATAAAAAATTAATATATTATTTTTCAAAATTAGCCTTGAACTTTTTAAATTAAATATCAAATAATTTAATTCGAATTGTTAAAAGTCCAAATATGATTTAAACATATCAAACTTTAATTAAATAAAACTTAAATAAGTTACGATTTGTATCTTCTAATTAAGGAGTGATAAACCGTAAAGAATATAAACCTCCAAAGCAGTAAAACCTTAACACTAGAAGTGCCCAAACAAACAAATATCCTAGGTAGGGTGAGCATTTGATTAAGTCGAGTCGAGTTAAAAAAATTTGAGTTATTCGAGTTGACGAGACGTATTTTACAACTTAAACTTAACTTGAATTTTTTTTAGTCGAGTTTAAGAAATTCTCTACTAATATTATTATAATTATTTATAGTATTATGGAAATGATTTGTTCCAATTTTTTTGACTTTATCTAACCATAATATATATATATATATATTATTTTTCATATTATAATGTTATTTAATATATTAAATACAATCTAAAATTATGAAATATATTCATAATATTATATTAAAAAAGTGTTTTGAGGGTAAAATATTGATAAGAGTATAAATGAGTCAAGGAATTGATGAGAATAAAAAATTTGTAAACAATTGTATTCAAAATACAAAATTGAGTAAAATGCAAAGTTTAGCGACTAAATAAAAAAGATAGTATATCTTTAATTAAAAAAAATAACAATTAAAGTTATATAGGTATTCTATTGTGGTATATGAGCATGTGGTTTAAATTGGTAAAAAAAATGACTTAAAATAAATCACATATTGAAGGAAAAAGATATTATAAAAAAATAAAGGACTAAATTGAAAAATAAAAATTTGTTATCAAAAAGAGGAATTGAAAGTACACATATATTCTACTATGGTTTAGGAGCATGTGACTCAAATTTGGTAAAAAAAAAGGACGTAAAATAAATGACGAATTGAAGAAATAAGGAGATTATGAAAAATTGAAGGACTAAATTGAAAAATAAAAAAGTTGTTATCAAAAAGAGGAATTGAAAGTGCACATGCATTTTACTATATTTTAGGAGTATGTAGTTCAAATTTAGTAAAAAAAAGACTTAAAATAAAGAAAAATTGAAGAAATAATGAAACCAGAAATTAAATCGTAAAATTATCAAAATACTAAATCAAATTTTTAATTTTTCAAATCAAATCCAGTTTTCCTCTCATCAAATCATAGGAAACGAAAACGTACAAGATCACACTGATTTTCAATGCAACAAAAACTTTCGATTATTTAATATACATATTGATTTATCTAAATTAAATTATGAAAATATAATAGGCTGATATAAATTATATATTTTTAAGAAAAATAGTAAAATAGAATAATAAGATGGAGCCCTTCTAAACATATAATTTATTAAAGAATATTTTACTACACTCGACGAGCAATGCTGAGTTTTACTAACGACAAGCATTCTTGAGCATTGTTAATTTAATTTATAAAAATCTAAAATTTTGAAAGACTCAACGTATAATTATAAATTAGTTAAAAATTAAAACATAAATTATTTAAAATAAAAAATTAATTATATTATTTTTCATAATCTTTTTTAGTAATAAAAAATATAATTTACTTTTAATAAATTATTTTTTAAAAAATTATGAAAATAATAATTAATTTTTTATTTTAAATAATTTACTTTTAAATTTTTAACTAATTTATAATTATACGTTGAATCTTTTAAAATTTTAATTTTTTATAAATTAAATTAATAATACTCATCAATATTCAATATCAGTGGTACTCTGCGTATTAATCGAACGTGACAATCTTATCCGTTTATTAAAGAAGTAAAATATTTAAAATAATTTAAAATGATTAAGATGATATCTTATATAATAAAAAGTAATTTTGAAAGATTATTATTTTCTATATATCACTATATTTATTAGTAACGAAGTGTGGATAGACACAAAATTCCATGATTGCTTTCATTTAACCTTTTTCACTTCCACACATAGTGTAACAGCCTCACTTGAATACTACTTCTAAAGTGTATCTATTGGTCTCTTCTCTCTCTACATGTATACATTTTGTACTATTAAATACTATAACCCAAGTTTATAATATCAAAGGAGATTGGTTTAAATAATAAATAATTTAATATTATTTAAATAAAGTCCTAAGTTCAAGTTTTTATATATAAAAAAAATTATTAAAAAATTCACCTATTAAATTTATATATACGACATAATATACTATACGAATTAATTCAAATTAATTAAAACAAAACCTTAGAAAAAAATGCGTATAGCCTATAGATTAATGTATAGCATAAATATGAATAAATCCTTTCCTTTTCAAAGTCCTTCGTCTTTTTCCCAAATGGATATATTGAGATAATGATGTGCTGACAAACCTACAACTCAAAAATCCCTACAAAACCAAGACTGTAAATCATCATCCTTCTCAATTTCTTCCACTCTTTCTCATTCCATCTTCTTCTTCTCCTCCTTCTCCTTCAAACTCTTCCCTTTTTCCCTCTGGGTTCTTTCCCTTTAGCCTCTAAAAGCTTCGAAAATTAAGCCTTTTCTTTCCTGAACTCCACAGCTCTCAACATATCCTTGAAACCCAATTTTCCTTGTGCTGCTGAAGAGGCACCGTTGAGGTATAATTTCATTAACTGTATTCCCCCCCCCCTGAAACTCTATCGTTCATTGATATTTAGTTCATGAATATTCATATATTTGGAAGGCTATTAATTGTGTGAAAAAGCAAAGTTTTCTATCTGTCAAAAAAGAATAGCATTATCACGATACACGAAAAAGAAGAAGTCTGGTATTTGATAAGAAATTGGAAAGGGATGTTTTTGAGAATTTGGGATGCTGTCAAGGACCTTTTGGTGAATTTACATTAGTGGTTGCAGTTCTGTAAATAGGAAACGAAAGTAGGATTTACGTGTTTATTTTTTGTATTTTTTTAATCATGCTGGGAAATACTAGGAAAACACGATGACAGACGGTAAGTAACACGTGTCATGACATGGGGGCTTTATGTGGCAATAATAAGACAAGTTAATACTAAATAATTAAGTGGGAAATTATTTCGTGTGGCTTCATTTTATTGGTTCTTGTTTTTGGTGGCTGCTTTACTTTAAAGGGTTTCTTCATTGATAAGATCAGAATTTTGGAATTTCCTTGTAAGTTACTTCAATTTTATTTGGGAAAAGAACAAAGTTTTAAGATGAAAACAGCTATTTTAATCGGATTTTTACATTTATTAGTGAGTGTAATGTTTTTGTTATTAACGCGTATTGTTATAGCCTATTTTAAGTTGCTTAATCAAAATAATTGCTTTATAAGCATCCAAGTATGGCGGACTTAAAAATTTTAAATTCTCGTATAATTTATTTTTATTCTTTAACACACTAAAATATTATAAATTTGTGTCTTGGAATAAAATCTGAATATGGGGGGCTATATCATGTCCTGTACTAAGAACTTCTTTTCATGTTTCTTCATTCTGATTTCCATAATCAAATTTCACCAGCACTACACCACCACTGAACCTTTAGAATCACCGGAATAGTCGCTTTATAATCAAATCCGGCGGACCGGATGACTATGCATTTAGTGAAGCATCAGCATGATTGATATTCATCCAGAAAATTAGCCTTCAAAGAAATCTGAAATAAAAAAAACCAGAAAACAAAAACAGACGAGCCTTAATAGTCCAATCTACCTATTTATCGACTGAACCGGTGGCTGGTTGTGACCTATTATAAGAAAAGTTGAGTTTAATACTTTAAACATGTTTTAAGCACGAGTGAACATGATCAGACATTTAGATATATAATTTATCTTTTGGAGAAGATTAAGGATTTTTGGAATCTTGAATTTCCTTTGATAACATTTTGGGGACGGTGATGGTTGAGGTGTCGTCTCCTACGGTCTTAGCACACAAAAATATAACAACCTTCAAGTTCATGAGTTCGGAAAATCGTGCACGGTTTTTGTTATTCGGATATCCTTGTTTCGGTCGGAGGGAATCAAGTGCATGAAGGAGATAATACAGGTACATATGCTTAAGAGCCTCTGGTTTCTTCTATTGCTTAGCTTGGTAGTGTGTTGAACAGATTTGGTATTGAAATCAATCTCACTTTCGTTGAAGGGACAGAATATTATTATTTTTGCTTAAGCTTAACTGCGTATGAAGCGTAGTGTTAAAACATAGACTTTAAGCTGCCATTCTCGAATATTGTATCGATCTATGTTTAGGATTTTAAGCATATTTAGGCAACCGTTGGAAACTTGCAATACAACCCTGAATTGCATTTAGCAGTATAAAAAGTCCAGCATCTGGATTGTTTAAAATGCTCACCAAAATGCCTTTTGAAAGAAAGAAAAGAATCTGATGAGACATGATTTCTCAGGAATCTATGCTTAAAGTATATGCCCCAACCCCTAGAGTAGGCAGTTCGAAGAAAACCAACGAGGTTAGAATACTAATAATTCATAGATGAGGGGAAAGAATCTAGCAGGGTAATTAGTTTCTTGATTGATGCAAAATTGATGCTGATAACTTGGTATGATTCCTGCCAAAATGTATTACTATACTAATCTTAAACTGTATGTAGTAATGCCCTCATATTGTTTCGGAAAACCAGGGTTCCTGAAACAATATATACATGGGTTTTTGATGATTTCTGTTCTCATGCAGGGTTGGGCTTGACTGTAGGAAAGAAGTCTAAGAAGAGCCGAGTATGGAGGTCATTGGTGATCTGCCAAGAGAGTTGTTCCTTGAAATCCTCTTACGATTGTCGGTAGAATCTCTGATGCGATGCAAGTGTGTTTGCAAATACTGGTACGCTCTTGTTAGCAATCCTAAGTTCATCGAATTGCACCTTCAGTACAACTGCAACAACAATGTATGCGTCCTTCTCAAGCGCTGCCTTCTAACGTGCTTAGGAGAGAGAGAAAATATGTTGTCGTTGGTTTGCAGCAACGGTTTGTCTTTCATAAATCTAGATGTTGATTTGTCTTTATATAAGAAGGAGCCGTGCTTACAGCTTTTAGGTCATTGTGATGGCATTATTTGCCTATCAAATTACAGAGATGATATAGTTCTATGTAATCCTGCAACTAGGGAGTCCATGGTACTCCCAGAATCCTCTCTCCCTTGTTATTCGCCGAGCTCGAATTTGATCCCACAAACCAGTGCCTTAGGATTTGGTTATGATGCTAAAACCCATCACTGCAAAGTTGTTAGGATTGTTTCGTACTGGGAGGAGCGAAGTGGGAGTGACTTACCCCAACATTCCAGGGTCGAAGTATATTCTTTGGCAACTGGTTCTTGGAAAGAAATCGATGTTAAGGTCCCCGCCCATGTGTGGTATTCTCCGTGTTTCGAGACATACTTTAATGGAGCGTTTCATTGGTATGCTATTGACAATAACCGAAATGAGGTCATCCTTTCATTCCACATGGGAAATGAAACGTTCCAAGTAATACCGATGCCAAGTGCCCTCTCCTTGAGTGATTATTCAATGTGCAGGAGTCTTTTTGTGTGGAACGGATGCATCGCTCTAGTAGTTTATCCGAGAAAGGGGACCAAAAAATCGTTTGAGATATACGTGATGAAGAAATATGGAGTGAGGGGATCTTGGACAAAGATAATGACAATTGGACCTCTTATGAAAGTGGAAATGCCTTTGGCTTTTTGGAGAAATGATGAGATCCTGATGGAAGGCTCCGATGGATTGGTTGTTTCTTACAACCTCAAGACACAAGAACTCAAGGATCTTCCTATTTATGGGGTCCCCAAGTCGTTCGCGACACTTGTGTACGTGAACAGCCTTGTTTCAGTCAAGGGAGGGAATCAAATGGTTGATGAAGGAAATAATACAGGTGAAAATGTTTCAACACTGATCACATTTTCTTTTGTTTTGTTTTGTTTCTGCAGAATCAGAACAGATTGCTTTCTTTTGCTGCATTTTTGTTGCTTATTCAGAGGCATGGGGATCTGTTCTTTTAGAAGACATGGATAAAAAGCCGTCATTTGTGATTCTAATCCAAGTGTTTTTTTGTGTTAGATTTTGGTTGGTGAAGGATCTGCTTCGGAACCTGCATAAACTTCATCAAGTTTAACAGATGATGATCAGGGGACGATGGAGACCAATGAATAAGAAAGTAAAAGCAAATGAGTGATACATATATAAAATAGATATCATCGTAAATGTAAATAAATCAGATGTAAATTTGGGTTTATAATCTGTGTGTTGTAAATGAAGATTTTAAGTTCAGTATATTATAGTTTATTCTTACTAACAAAATGAGCAAAGAATTGCAGCATGGGCTGCTTCACTCTACGTGGCCATGTGGCATAGCATTATGACTATTTATAGGTTCATTCATACCTTTCATTTCAGAGAAAATAATGGCAGTTGTTATCAAGAATTGGATCATACAAGTTGTGGAAGCTGATAGAAAGAATGCATCTTTCTTTGCTGGAATTCTAATGCCATATGTAATCCGGCGCATGTCCACAGCACACAAGGTTGTTACCTTTTTAATAAGATTCTCTTTTAGGTTAGGGTTGATTATAAAGCGAGTCGATTGTCTAACTCAATTCATTCTCTTTAAAAAAATTTATTGTTCGACTCGTTAAATTCATTAAAATTTTGCTTGACTTGTGGTCATTAAAATAACCTGTTACTTGACTCGTGCTCGTTAAAAAAACTTGTTGCTTGACTCGTGTTCATTAAACTTGTTGCTTACCTCGTTGGTTGTTAAACTTGCCAAAATTTTTATCTTATTTTTTTGGGGTAAGATTTATAATTTTTTTAGCTATAAGTAAAATCTACTAATACTATATAGAGTTTATGTAAACGTAAATTGATAAATTTAACCACAAAATTATCAAAAGAGTGTATGAGACAAATTCAAAGTAAACTCCAAAATAAAAATTCATAAATACATTAAAATAATAATTAGAATTTAATTTTTGGGTGTTGTAAAATAATAATTATTAATTAGTAATTTATTATTTTTTATTAGAAAATTAATAGATGAGTTATTTATCATCTATTAGAAAATTAGTAATTTTTTTAATGAAATAATTTTTTTTATGATAACTAGTAAAAAAATATAAAGAAAATTAACGAGATGCTCGCGAAATTATCGAGTCAATTTGGACTTTATTCGACTCAACTCGTTAAGGTCTCGAGTTAAATCAATTTGAATCGAGTTTTTTTCGAGTCGAGTTCGAACTGCTCACAAATTGCTCAACTCATTAATCACTCCTAGTCTAGGCAACGGGTACTAGGGATTAGAGTGTATTTAATGGAGTTGAACTAAAAAACTCTTAAGTTGTTAAATTATGTTTTATTACTTAACTTTTAAAAGAAATCAAATTAAGCTTTATGAATTCTAGTAGAATCAAATACTTAAAAATTTTATTTACCTTTTTATTTATTAATAATATTATCACATGAATTAATCTTAAATTAAGCAATTTTTCATTATATACATACATACATACATACATACATACATATATATATATATTGTGTTTAAATAAAATTTATAATGTTGTTTAATAAAATAAAAATTATTTAAAAATATAAATTTATTTATGATATTTTTTGGAAAAAAATTGAATATAAAAAAAATCATGGAACTGATAGAAAGAAATAACAACAAAATTACAATTAAAAAGCTAAATTAATAAAATATAAATTTAATAAATAAAATTACACAAAAAATATTATTAAAATTAAAAATTAGAATTAAATAAATGTTCTATAAATTTAGAGGAACTTTCAATGCAATAGAAATGAATTTAAAACACGGAAATTTGAATTAATGAAAATTATATAGAATGAAAGGATTAATTTAAAAAATCATTTTAAGAAAATAAAATTAACTATATTTTATATTAATGTAAAAATATATAGTTGAAGTTTAAAATAGATAAACTTAAATAAAAGAAAGTTGTAGACACTTATTTTCGTCTTTATTTCTTTATTTTATTTTATTTTACACATATATATATCTATATATATTTTCTAAAAAAATATTTTTTATATTTATTTATTTATTACTATTATTATTAACATTTTTTTATTAATTTTTTTTGCAGGTCCCATGATCAACCCACTATCCCACTTTCTTTGATTAAAAGATACATCCTTGGAAAAACCTTGGACTGTGCAGCATGGTCCGGATTCCGTGGGAATCGTTGCTATTTCTCATGGTTGCATCGGAAGTCCATGCGGACTTGTGGGACTCTGAAACCCTTAAAGACCGGCCTTCGTGATTCCGTGATTGTCGTGCCGTGGATGAACGTGTTGTCCATTGAACTGCTTTATATACAGTTCTATACACCAACAACGGGGAAGAAAAGGAGGGGGGAGGATGGCAACCTCAGTCCACAAACACTAAAATAGTGAGCGAAACAGGAAAATGTGTGGAACTCTTTCCCTGTCCTATGCTAACCTCTCTCTTCCACCAAATAACACACTAATTCATTCACCATTCTTGAAGCCTCATCTTCTATTTTCCCGGATATCGCTTTGCTTCTCTAACAAAACTCTCTGCCACGACCATGTCTCTAACGATCAAAATACACTTCATTTCCCCCACTCACCTTAATTCCTGCAACAAACCCAGTTTTTTTTTCACGGCATACAATCCCAGAATCCGACCCAAACTGATTTACCATTCCAATCCTTTAACAACAACATCAACTTCTCTCAAGCCGAGGAGAAAACAGAGTCGAGTTCGGTCTACCTCTGTTATAAAGACTCGCTGATCGAGCCAGATGGTGGGGTCATCGTCAATCTCGTTGTCCTGAAGAGCAAAAGGGGGACCAAGACAGTCGAGGCCGCATCAATGCAGAAGGTGAAGCTGACCAAGCTTCGTGTAGAGTGGGTGTTGACTTACCTATTGTTAATGGTGCACAAAGAGTTTGCATGCAATTAAGTACATTGCACAGAGACCAAGAAGAGTATGGTTTACACCCACGTGATTCTGGCCATAGCCATATCACTCTACAAGGGTACACTTTTAAATCTATCGGAGGTAAGTAATTTGAATCGGGTCTTTTAAATTTTAATTTTAATTTCAAATTTTCGCAATTAAGACAACTGATAAATTAATTGGTACCGAAAGGGCAGAACAAGGGTGCTAATCCTTCCTTAACTGTAACCGACTCCCGAACCCGACACATTTCTGGTAAAACACGGATCAGGTAAGATGGTGTCCGATCCACCTAATTTTTTAAAAATGATCGATGGCGACTCTAACCCAATTATTTCAAGTCGAAGCCCAATTCCGGGGCCCAACCGAAAGACGGTTCCAACAGTTTGGCGACTCTATTGGGGACAAGTAAGTGAGTCAGGCCGAAATTAATTTTCAGTTGTCTTTTTTTAGCGAAAAATTACATATTTTAATTTTAATTTATTTATTCAATTCCAATTATTTATCTTTGATTATTTTTTCAAGTAAATAGTTGTACTGACGTTTTTCAATGATTTCAGATTTTTGAAACAGTTTCCATCTCTGGCTCTATACCCAAGCTCCGAACCCTTTTAAGTAGGGGTGAAAGCGACGCCTTCGTGTGAATTTATTCACTGTATGGGCCTAGCAAGTAACCTTCGGGATTCATATATCTTATGTCTTCGTGTGAATTTATTCTCCGTATGGGCATAAGGGAATGTTTCCTCTCGAGTTTAACTTAGTCCACATAATCTTGTAATGAGCTTAGGACTAAGGGTCTGGTAAGCCCAAGGGGGCACCGGCAAGAAGAACTCGAGTACTTTTTTTAGAACCTAAACCGGGAGAGTACAGAGAATTAGAGCCCACCCCAAAACCTCATTCCAAACCCTAGGATACTTTGTTTCCGACTTTATTTTCTGTTCAAAGCATGCGAACTAGACAAATATGCGGTTAGGATTTGTTTGGAATTAGCATGCGGGATAGAAATCATGTCCGGGTAGGAATATTAAGCATATTCGGGTAGATATCATGTGGGGTAGGATTTTTCATTTTTATTATTGTTTTGATTTACCTCACTAACTCTTTTTTATTTTCTTTTCCTTTATTTTGTTTTCATCATTCGCATCATTTAAAACGAGGTGTTGATCCACCAAAAATGTATTTGTTAAACATGAATAATCTACAATAATGGGCAAAGGTGTTGTAATATAAGAGATGAGAATGCATAGGACAATCTACAAGGCGACTATGTGTCGTATTCAATCTAGAAGACGTGGTGCCCATGATTGAAGAATATATCACTCTGCTGCATTACAAATGACTCATAATGAATCGGGTCTACATCAAGCACAATGAAAGTCCATCTTTGAAGAACTGACTGGCAGAGGTTGCAGGGGCAAGATGAAGGTTAATGATCTTGGGAGTCCCTTCAAAGACAGCAATGGCAAAACGATAGCTGAAATTGGAGACCATTATTGACGAATCCAAGAAACAGACAAATAAACTTCACATAGTTCCTATCAACTGAGGGCTCCAATGACGTATTCGTTGGGAATAGGTTCAACAAAAGATAAATGCCAGAGATGCAGTCATTCGAGACTTCTTGGGCCAGTACAAAAAGCAGCTCAACATTTGCACGGTTCATCCAGAGAAGCCAGAGCGGTTTGACTAGTTATTCAACCGGTGACAGACGAAGGCAGAAGACTAGTCAATATGTCAGAAGCTGTCATGATATTTTTTTCTCTTAAAAGATAAAACGCTTTTGTCCCCAATAAGGATTATTTCTAATTCCAGACACATTTTTGGATCAATGCCTCGAACATTGCATGCATCATGCATTCATGTATATTTCGCATTATTTTCCTCTTTTTTTTACTACATTCACATGTCTCATCAAAAATGAGAACATTTTGATCCTATGAAATATAAGGAGCTTTACCAATAGTTGTTTGACGCACATTTGGTGTCACCATATCCAGAGAAATCCATGAAGCCCCCGTACCCCAGGTAGTATGATGAGAACGCTCATTGTGATTATCATAGCGATGTCCTAGGGCGCACTATAAAGAACTGCTCCATATTCAAGAGAATCGTACATAAAATACATAACAAGAATTGGATCGACTTCAACAACTTGGGGGCATCCAAGTGAGAGAGATCATTTCATCATTTGAGATATTCTGTTTGAATTTAATTTTCCTTTTTTTTCTTTCTCAAGTTTTTGTAAGGACTTTTAAATAAATTTATGTTACTTTAAAGATGTTAAACAATGAATCACATTTGCAAACTTGCAATTCTTTGAATATCA